GCCATGCCCTGACATCATGCCCAGGTTCTTGTGTTTCCGACAACAAATTGGACAAGACATGACATGGAAAACTAGTAGGGAAATAAAGATTTAGTAAATGAGTGCAAAAGCACGGAATACAGTTGATAGTGGTGGCATGGGCCCGAGCAAGCATCTGGCACGAGAGCTCCAAGATCTTTATTAGGGTTCTTTTTAAAAATTAAAGTTATTTTGATTTATGTGTTTTATGTGTATGAGTATTTTGTCTGCATGTATGTCAGTGCATCCATGTCATGCAATGCCTGCAGAGGCCAGAAGAGGGCATCAGATCCCCTGGAACTGGAGTTGAGGGGTCCTATGAGTGTTAGGAATCATATCTGGGTCCTCCTCTGGAGAAGCCAGTGCTCTTAGCCCCTGAGCCACCTCTCCAGCCCCCTATTGGGGTTCTTCTTATGAGTCTTGGTGGGAGGGAAGAGTCAATCTCCAGGAGCAAGAATGGGGAGAATCCTAGTCCTGATTGACAGATGGGCTGTTATACAACTTCAGACAATCTGTTTGTGGGGTGTATACTTCATAATTTTAAGCTTATGTCTGTTCCATCATGCATACACATGAGATTTGTCAGCAGGGGTTTTCTACTGGCAAGTCACTTCAAGGATGGATTCACCCTCACTGTCCTTGTGCCCAGTAGCAGTTTAAATCAGCCTTGCTTATTTTTCCTTCTGTCAGAAAATGCCTGACCCCAAATCACCCACAGGAAGGGAGTACTGAATGTGCTCTTAAGAGAAGGGGCTGGCATGCTTTCCTTAGGGAGTTACCTCAGGTCACTGGGCTGTTCCTACTGGCCTAACTCAGGCTTCCTTACCATCCTTCTGTGCTAACAGGTATCTTTATCCAGCGTATTACTAAGATCCCAGGCCCTCTGGGATCCTGTGTAGCTGACTTAGTTCCCAAACCCTGCATCCAGGTTGCCACATCTTGTTTTCCACTCCTGCCTGGCTGAAGACCCAGTTTGCTGAGAGCAGCATCCTCACCCGGGACTGCCACAGGTGTACACACTCCGTTTGCTCACTCACATTCTGTTTTCTGAAAATCCCCTCACTCTTGTGGCCTTGGCTGGTATTCCTCATGGTGCCTACCTCAGGGGTTAGTCCCAAACAGAATGCCCACTAGGCTTCTCGGCTCACTTTGCTGCCTCTGCCTCAACTGTCTCCATGGTATGCTGTGTGACATGGTCTGGGGAGAGGTGAAGAAACAGACCAAAGAAGATTCTATTAAGTCCAGTTTGGTGAACCAATGAATTAATTAGGGTTGTTCCTTATAAGATCAAGTGCTATTCACAAGCAGCATTTATAGAGTGTGGAATCCCCTGGTGACTTTTCAGCTATGCATTCAGAAATCCTGGTGACTTATGGGTAACTATGCATTCTGACTCCTGTCGCTAGCATGTACGACTCATGGGCAGCTGTGCCATGGAACGGTTCCAGTGGACCTCCCATACACTCTCCTATACACTGTAGTACTGCCAAGACCAGAAGGGGTGCCTGGGGCAGGATGGAGCAGTGACTGGAGTTTTAGGTCACAGTCCCTGCTCCCCCCCCCCTTCCACTCAGGAGCTTAGCAGCCTCATGACCATCACCATAGACCTGGCTGTCAACTGGATTGTTGTGCTTATTGCAGAGACTTCAAGATAAGGTCCCTTACTGGTCATCACAGCAGTTATGCTTCTTGATGGGCATGACCACGTCAAGACTTTGGGAAACAGCTCCGCTCCACCATGAAACAGAAAACCAGTCTAGATCCAGGTAGGACCACACCAGAAGACTTTGCAAAGCCTGGAGCCTCTTTTAGCAGCAGAGTGATTAGAACTCAGAAGGGTGCATGGGGAGTAAAACTAAAGAGCATCTGGATAGCTCTGGAGGCACACCGTTGTTCTGTGGAGACCCCTATGAAGATCCTTGAATTTAAAAGGCTTCTGTAAAGCAGCTTTCTGTGAGTATAGTGGTTCTATTAGATTTCACATCTTCATCCTCTACCTGGAAGCCCTTTGACATGCTGGAAAAGGCACTCACTTGGTTTGTCCACTGTGTTATCATATCCCTCACCATACATAAGCATATTACTGAGATCCCAGACCTCCAAGGGCCCTGTATGGCTGCCTCAGTTCCAATGGCTTGCTTCTCTGGGTTGCTACATCATGTTTTTTAGCTTTATTTTTATATGTATGAGTGTTTTGCCTGTATATATGGATTGTACCATGTGTGTACCTGGTGCCCTCAGAGATCAGAAGAGGGCATCAGATCCCCTGGAACTGGTGAGCTATCAGGTGGGTGCTGGGAACCAAACCCAAGTCTTCTGCAAGAGCACAAAGTACTTTTGACTGCTCTCCATCTCTCCAACCTCCAGGTTGCCACATCTTGTTTTCAATTTCAGCATGGCCAAAGCCCCAGTTTGCTTAGAGCATTGTCCTCACTTGAGACTGTGAAATGCTTCCATTAAACAGAGAGACTGCACATCTGCCTACCTCATAAGGACTTAACCATAGCGTTGAACACTGAGAACAAACATAAACTGACCTATCTTTATTGTTTGAGGTTAGGTGATTGCTGTTCTAAAACCAGAGAGAGAACAGTACACAAAAAGAGGTCACAGTTGTCCTTCATTTCTAAAAATTCCGATGAAAGTTCTGGTTTAGCAGAATCCACAGTGGAAATAAAGTAATAATGCATCCAGTTGGAGTAGGAGCTATTTTAGAAATCACTTAGGAACAGAAAGACAAGTGTGCCCACCCAGAGAAAAATAATATTGAGGCTAAGGGTGTAGCTCAATGGGTGCTTGCCTTATATTACCAAGGCCCTGGATTTAATCCCCAGCACCATGAATAAAATAAAATGAACTAAAATAAGACAGGCCAACAAAAGGAAGTTTAAGACTCACACAATAAAAAATGAAATCAACAAACACAGTATAAGGTCACTAAATTGGCCCTCATATTGCTATTTAAAACTTACAAACAAAACCACCTAAACCTAGCAGCTGAAGGGATTTTTCAAAAATTGATAAAATGTATAAGAAAAGTCTAGAGTCACATCCTATGTTGTGGAGGAAAAAATGACGTTCTTACTAAGATCTGGAATATGAAAATGCTGTTCATACTCACCCACTCTGAGAATGGTTCTGGTTAAAGGCAGCTCAGGAAAAATAAAAGTTAACTGCAAACTTCAGGGTAGAGAAGGGAAAACATGCTGGCTTGCCTTCTGACTTCACAGACCCTGTATCTCCACTCTTCAATTACAAGCTTATAGGCTCTGGATGCTGTACTGTTGGGTGCTAACTTGCAAATGGGTTATGAGTGGCAAAGATGAAAAAAGACCCACATGTGGAACGGCTTTATATATATCCGCTAGAGATGGAGTCTTTCTGGATGACATCAGTCATTTCCAGAAGGCTCCATTTCCAGGGCTTTCACAGATACTGCTGCTGGTCTTATGGCTCCCAGCACCCACCCCTGCAGACACCAGGACCCTGGGCAAGCAGCGATCCTCACTCTGGTCAGCAGGTGGCGCTCGGCTTCCACGGCACGACCATCCAAGGGCTGGCGCGCTTCGCGTTAAGTCCCCTACAAAAAGTGCCACTTTTCCTGGGCTGCTGGGCTTTGAGTCGTCATTCACTGGGCGCAAACTGGCACCCAGCAACCCCACAGGTGCTCCGATAGGTCTTGATGCTCCGATTGCACCGTTGGAACAGACTTCCATGGCCATCATAGTAGAGAATACCATGTGCCGGTTACAGCAGTGGGGAAAAACCAGGGGTCGGGCAGACACACCTGTTCTTCTTCCCTCCAGCCACGTTGGGGCCCAGTGTGCACTGCGTGGCCCGGCAAGCAGTTCAGGGGCTAAAGCAGGCGACAGGATTGCAGGTGACCGATTTGAAGCAGGGCCTGCGCCTCCAGTCTGGTGAGGTGGCCACAGCCTGTTTCCCAGGGTGGGATCAAGGATGACATCCCCCCACCCCCGCAGGAATGAGCCTGAAGGAGATGGGGACCCTCGGTCGCCCCTCCTTCACCCATTGTGAAGGAGTTGGTGTGAAGGGCCAAGAAACCACTGGGCCACCCAAAACACCTGCTTCTTCAGAAAATGGGCCCAGGTGGGACACTTGTACTGACCCCCACCTCCACCCTTAACCTAGGCTGTTCCTGGCCTCCTTGGATCACCTTCCAGAGCCACTCCACCACAAGTTGCTTCCAACTTGGGAATCTAATTGAATTCTAAACACCCACAGAGCTCTTACTTTAAATTAGGGGCCCAGGGCTTTCATGGCCGTGAACATCAGGTGTGACACTGTCTTTGAGACTGGGAAGGGCTTTTTCAGACCCCTCTTTTCCTTACAGTCCTGAGCAGTCAAGGATGAAGGGCTATACTTAATAGTAGTCACCAGTCTGGGAAAGCAGGTGGTCCAGCCCTGCACCCTATGCCCGGTAGGCCTGATGAGCCACAGGTAGGAGAGGGTTAGCCATTGTTGCTGCTAGGCCAGGTTACAGCTTAATTCGTGGGGGCAAACAGAGACTGCTAGGATCCCTTTTTTCTTGAATCTGATCTTGTTCAAAATGCTACAGAGCCGTGCCAAGTTCTGGTGAAATTCCAGTTACTCCAAAGGTGTCTACCCACACATCCAGACTGGTAGCCTTTGAAGACTTCATTTATTTCAATGACTTAACTCCAGGGAATCATTGCCCACAACTCATTGTCTTAAGCTCTGTCCTAATGCAAAGTCACAGAACTAAGCTGTCCCTTAAGGGTTCACAGAAACTTCTAGGTATAGTGCCTCCCTAGTCACTACCATCCCTCCTGAACAGCAGCAATGTTTTGGCCCAATGACACACGCCCATGTGATAAAGGAGAGGAAAACATATATTATATAGGTATATAAAATCAGCTCATGTATATTACATATACACACGTGAGAGACAACAGGAAAATGTGCCGCAAGCACGAAAACTTAAAAATCATTCAGAATCCAGGTAATGACTTCAGACACATTTTATTATCATCTTAATACAGTCTACATAAATTTGAACTGGTATTTATTTGGGTTCAGTTATAACATAGCATCATAAAAATCAAAGCACTGGTCCTCTGAAATAAAGCAAGCAATCACCATTCAATAAACACACTTGATTTATTTTGTATAAAAGGGTTAAATTTACAACTAAACTTTTATAAAAAGTTTAGTGTGAGTAAGTACATCATTTCACTTTTATGCAGAAATACACATCTCTGCCACTATACAAGAAAACTCTAATCAAAGAGTTCACAAGGTTTCACTCAATATATATATTTATATATAAATATATACACAGCATTCAGTAGGCTTGTGTCAAAAAGGTAATTTCTGACCGAAAGACTTCATTTAAGTAACTGAATACTGAGTCCTTCTGGTAATTCACGCTCCACCTTTGAAAAAGGCAAAGTCTGCTTAGATTGGGCAATTCCTTGTGATTTTTTAACGTTTTCGCTCCCCATGGTGGGAATAGTATATAAAGAAAACCTTCCGACTGCAGAAAGGGCATTTAAAAAGTCTTTTTCATAAATAACGAATATCACAGTCCAGGCCAGAGAACCCCCTGGAAGATGACCATCCTTAGCTTTCATTCCGTTTGTTTTCTTTTTTAAAAGGTCCATTCAACTTGTTCTCCTCCTGGTGAAATGGTTGGAAGGAAAAAAACAATAAGTTCAGCGCCTTAAAAGATCCTGTGGACTTGTGCAAAAGAAAAAAAAGAAAAAGAAAAAGAAAGTCCCAACACCTGCAAAAGATTGGGAGAGAAAGGCATGCTTAGGAGAATGTAACCCAAGGGCAGAGGCGGGCAGACTGGCGCCGAGGAAGCCGCAGTTTGAGCATTTAACCAAACACTGGGAGATTGGGCAAACCCTGGCGTCCAGATGCGGCACACACACTCGGCCTCAACAGCGCAAATTAAACATGAAAATAGCAGAGGCTCAAGGGAAAAACTTCCCAACCCAATCTCCTATTTGGATCTCCAACGGCAGTGCTCACAGGCGCCAGTCTGCTTCTTGTAACAATTATTTGATTGAAAACAGCCCCTTACTTAACAGATAGAGGTCTGGATCCCATAGCACAGGGTTAAGGCACAGGGTAGCAATCCTCAGCTAGCGATCCTACAGGGCTGGAGTTTGGAGAAGGAGGATCGCTATGGAATTTGTGGCGATAAGATTAATTACAGCAGGGGTTAGTACCTCATAGTACCAGGACCGGAGCGGTAGAAAGGGCCGGGGCACCTCAGTCGCCCACAAAAGCCAATACACCCTGTGCTCCCTGCCACCTTCATAGTAAGTTATGGGTATCATTTTTTTTTTTAAATGTTCTGTAATCGTGTGTAACCACAGCTACAAGCTTCTTCACGCCTGCCTAGTAGTACACACAACACAACGAAGTAAGCATGCATTTACTAAATCAAACATTTTACAGACGCACAAGCACAATACAAAAACCGCGCACACAGGAGGAGGCACCAGCGAACACTCACCACTTATTCAGCCACAGAGCGCTTTGCTGTCATTCGACATTAACTCAGAAGGGAATTCAGAAGCCTGGGGAGGAAAGGATAAAAGGCAGGATGTTAGACAATCTGAAAGAAGAAAGGGAGGGCTTTTTTTTTTTTTTTTTTAAACCAAAGTGCTCCACAGACCAGCAAGTCCCATTAAACATGTTTATTGCCAACTCAGACGCATCCCACACATCAGAACTTATTAGCGATTTCACACGAGGCACAATCTACAGCAGTTTTTTTTTCTTTTCTTTTCTTTTTTTTTTTTTTTTTTTACAAGAAAATAAAGTTAATGAGCCTGTCAGTAAGTCACTATCTCCACAACGGGCGTGTGAGTGACAGCGCAGGCAACAGCCCGGAGCGCACGGCGCAGCGGGGGGCACCGCGAGCGCAGCTCACCTGCAGGGACAGGATGCTGATGTCCGTGTTCAGGGTGGTCAGCGGCGTCCTGGACGCCTGGTTCTGCCCAGGTCTCTGGTGGTGCAGGCTGACAATGGTGGGGTGCGAGTCCAGAGCGATCTGCAGGTCCAAGATGTAATCGATGACGTGCTGCAAGATTTCCATCTTGGTTACCTTCTTGTTCTGGGGGATGCTGGGCACCAGCTCCTTCAGCTTGGAGTAGCAGTCGTTCATGTTGTACAGCAGGCTCATCGGGTCATCCACCGGGGTTTTGCTCCGGGAAATGCCCAGGCCGTGGTCCGACAGGCTGTTTTTCCTAACGGATCTCACAGGACTGAACGCTTTCATGCTGATCGCGGTGGAAGGATAGGCCAGGAGGGAGCGAGCTGCCCTGGAGCTCACGCCGCCGCTGCCGCCGCCGCCGCCGTCCGGAGCTGAGTAGGACGCGCTCGGGACCAGGCTCGGCTCAGAATGAAGCGCGAGCCCGGCGGGGCGGCTTTTATCCGCCCTCGCCGGGGCCACACGATCGGGCTTCCCTCCGTCGCCATTGGTGGAAGGTGGAACGTCCATCATATGGAGCGGGCTCTCCCATTGGTAAACGTGAGAGCGGGGCGAGCGCTCGGTCCTTCCGCGTTCGCAGCCAATCCCCGCGGAGTGGGCGGGGCGGGCGCGAGCCCAGCTGGGGTGGTAAATAGAGTACAGTAAGCTCACCGCGGGGGAGCAGCAGGTCGGGGCGTCCCGGGGTGCCTGCCTGCTTCTGACCCCCCAAAGCGGGGCAGGACCCTGGCTCCAGGGTGTGTGCTCCGAGCCGGCCCTCCCTACCCCGAGCTTCTGCTGCCCTAAAGGTCCCGGCGATACGGGCAAGAGGGCAAGTCACAGGTCACTGCGAGTCCACGCGATAGCGTCAGCAAAGAGCGAGCTTTGCAGGAGGGAAAACGCCGAGAAGCTTGCCCTGGGGAAGTCACGTTTGTAGAGTGAGTTTCCTCCTTTAATAGAAGTACAAGCTATGTTGAAAAAAAACCCCAAACTACCCATGCACACATTCAAGGACAGGTTTAGTGTGGGATTTTGCAGCCCGGAGTATGCGGGAGGCCTAATTGGAAACTCTGACCCTGGCAGTAGCGGACAAGGCTCCCGGTGACCGCAGAGGAGCCCCGGAGGGGAACGGCACTTTCCGTATTCTTTGTAATTTTTTCGAGAACGAGGAGGCAGGACTAGTAATAATTCCACTAATCGGAAATCATTAGTGGAGTTTGCATACTGAAACTACATTTACATACACTGCCCTTGAAAGCCGGCCTGTGCCCTTCGGTGTAGGTGGCATAGCTACGCTATTATGCGCAAATCTTGGTTTCTGGTGTCACATTCCAGTACTTACAGCGCTGGGAAAGCTATGTCAGGTAGGTGGTCCTAGCGGTGGACTGACATCTTACTGGTTTTAAAGAAAATTCTGTTACTTGTGGGTTTGAAATCTTCGTGCTAGATACAACTTCGGGTTGGGCTGTGTGGATTTAAATCCTGAAGAACTCAGTCTCCCATTAAAAAAAAAGTTTGGAGCACTTAACTGCAGTACTTTTATTCGCACAGAATTGTAGCTCAGCTAATAACCACAGTGTTATTAGTTGTGTGTTTGGGAAAAATATTTCTCTAGAAAAGCCCAGAAAGGGTAATATTGGTAGGTGTCTTGTTGACTTTTTGTCTGAATCCCCAATTCCTTTGAATGTAAGAAAGAGGAAGAAGGCAGTACTGGAGCGAGAGCAAAGCTCAGTAACGGGAAACAGTATTTTCCCTTCAATTAATGATTAATTCCTCAGCTGGTGGGCCAGGCAGTCTCTGACCTCCACGTGACAGCCTTGTGCCCCAGGGCTTCTCCCTAGGGAGGCAGAGTCCTGAGGCGCAGAGGTGGCATGTCAGGGCCATAAAACCAGCCACTTCAGTGAGGAGGATGCCTGGGGATGCTGCCCAGCAGGGAAATCTGGCCGAGTGTCTCCGCCGGCCTTTCGGCGCCGCCTGCAACGCACAATCCCTGACAGTGTTCAATGAAAATTGCCTCTGATATTAAGCCTGGAAATGATTTGCTATCCAAATCCCCCCACGGTTCGAGCCTCTTGATGTACTTTGTGTGCATGTGTTACTGTCACATACGTGCCACAGACGAACAGATTTTGTTTTGACACTTTTGGTTCATGATGTTATACTTTGACTATTTTACAATAATAGCCAATGTAAACAAACATCTTTGGGATTCTCAAATTATTACTTATGATTCTTGGACATTGCAGCTCTACTGCGCTACTGACGCATTCCTAGCTTTTTCCAAGGACACCGTATGTTAGCACCCGTGCCAGCCTCATTATCCCCACAGAAAGGCCCTGGGCTGGATGGTAATGAGCGCTGTGCGGCTTCGCTAGGCACATTGGCTGTGACGATGCAGGGATGCAGGCAGCGCCTTCTCCCGAGATCATTCTTGTACCCTCATGTAGTAAAATTGCTAAATATGGTGAAAGTTCCCTGGCGTTTCTTTCTTCGGCCGGCCTCCATGCCCGAGTCCAGTCTGCAAAGCGGCGTTGTATCCCATTTCCTTGGCACACTACCCAGTTTTGCATTTATTTAAAGACCATTTTAAGATTATGAAGCTGTATAAGTTAATGACTGAGAAAAGGCCCTAGTTCCTAGTACGTCTGACCCAGCAAGCCCGGGACGACATCATTTTAAAAAAACTATATTTTCGGGGATGGGCGGGAATCCGGTTGGAGCCTTTGTCGGGGTGGCTTACAAAAGCATTTAAAAATCTGCCAATTGGTGTCGATGTGGGCTTACATCTGAGTGCTCTAAAGTTCAAATGGTCCCAGCTGCAGGACGCGCCCAGCTGCAGGAAGGGCTGGATCCGTGGGTGGTGGGAAGGTGTGAAGGGCTTCCGGAGGGGGGGTACTGGCCGCCCCAGATACCCACTAGGACTCCCCCTACTTAAAGCAACACACCAGGCCCCACCGGCGCCCCCACCGAGTCTCGGCCGCCGGCGGTAATCAGAAGCAGGTCCGGGCCACTGCCCAGCCGCCTTGGCTACCATCTCCGCGTGATGCCACCGGGGGGCGGGAGGAGCCGGCGCGGCGGGGGTGAGTCTCAAGGTCCTCCCTGCACATCTGGCGCAATTGAGAGCGCTCGCCTTTCTTCCCCCCGGTTTTGTTCTCACAGCTGTGTCCATTCCGCCCGTGACCCCCCGAGTGATCCCTGACAGGTGATGAATTGGCAGCAGCGGCGGCGGCGGCGGCGCGCGGGCCAGGCCGCGGCGGGGCCGGAGCCCGAGCCCCGGAGCAGACTCTCTGGCGCCAGGCGCGTGACGCCGCCCATTCACGCCGCCCTGCAGCCTTGTCCTCGCGGCGCCGCTCAGGCGGCTGCCATGGCAACCGCGCCGTCACTCAGCGCGCGCGCCCAGCTGATCAATGCCTGCAAGGCCCGGCGGTCCCAGGCTCGCCCTGGCCGGGCTGCCGGCCTGCGCGCACCTGCAGCCTCTGCACGTCTTAAGTTTCGAGTGACTGGGGGGGAAGGAAGGAGGACCGAGAAGAAAAGAAAAAAGCGGGGGAAGGCAAGGGGGTAGGAGAGCGAGGAAAAAAGCCCGGAGAGGAAGAAAGAAATCTTCCTTCTGCAAAAGGAGACGTAATGTGGCTTAGACGTTGCCAAAGCAAAATGTTTTGCTTTTTTTCATTTGTTTTTGCAACTGAAACGTCCAGGGTGGGGCTGGCTCGAGGGAAAGAGTGGATGGGGAGAAGGTCACTGTCTCATCTCTAGGCAGGATTTATTTATTGCTCTGGATCCTCTAGGTCCTCACCAGGGTGGCTTTGATTCCCTGACTCCTAAAAATACCTTTGAAAGACCCCCCCCCTCCGCCTCCCATTCCCACTGGTCCCTGACAGTTCTGTTGCCCTCCTCTTTGGAATCCTTGGAGGTTGTACACAAAGGCATCAGACTTTTCTAGAGCACCCTGTCACCCTCCACCCCACCCCGGGAGGAGCGGGAGGATGTGCTGCGGTGGTCCTCTGGATTCAGAGGAACCACATCTGCGTACTCATTACCACTACAAAGCCGGGAGCCAAGCCGAACTACTTTACTGTGCGGAATTTTCGTCTGACAGCATCAAGAGTCCAGAAACTTCCAAAGCAGCCTGGAGACTCAGATGCCTCCTCCGTCAGGGTTTTATCTCCAGGGAAAGTTCCATCTTAGGAACCAGATGCCAATATTTCCGGATGGTTTATGGCACCCGGATCCCCAACTCTGCAGTTGAGTGTTGGCAGTACTTACTCCTCGCCTGTCCTGCAGGGGAGGTCCCGAACCTCATCGTCGCCTGCTGGCCCTAAAATCCGAGGGTGTTGCGGGGGGAGGGAGGGTGAGAGAGAGAGAGAGAGAGAGAGAGAGAGAGAGACCGCGCACAACCAGCCAGCCCTGTTATCTTTCTTAGCCGAATTTGTTGTGGTTTTCGAGGAAACAGCATCTGGGTTGCATAAGGATTCGAGTTTTTGCTTTACTTGTTTATTTAATACCTTGGCAAGAGGGAGTCCTTACCGTGCAACCAGATAACAGAATTTGGGTTTAAAAAGGCCTTGGATGAGGGGCCCTGGGAGGGGAAAATTGAGCAAAGCCACGAAACGCAAACAAGGGGATGTTTATTTTTCTCTCTTTGGGTATTTTTTTGAAGACCTGCCTAACCTCTTCGGGTGACATACAGCTAATAAATGGCATTAGTGAAGCGCTGCAGCTACTACAATGGCTTAAGTCGGTCCGCCCCCGCCCTGCCACAATTCCGGCCATAACTCCTTCTAGGATTCCAGCGTGGTCCAGTTTGCCTGGAGGTGGCGCGCCCCAGGTAAAATGCCATGCCAAATCCAATTGCGGGCCACCATCTGACCCCTTTTGGAGAGATCACTTTCTAGCCTCGTTCAAAGAAAGCCAAGTTTGGCGGAAGGGTCCGATATAACTACCGAGCGCCGCAAATATTTTGTTACAAATACTATGAAGTGCTCCGATTTGCGGTCGCGTTTGGCTTTCACAGAGGATTTTCCTGCGACTTTAGTTCCGGTCACCAAATTAAAAAAGAAAATTAACTGGAGGGAAAGATAAGGTCTTGGAAAACAATCCCCGGCCGCCCGCGAGCTGGCGGTGCTGGGGGCTGGCGTCGCCGAGTCTGCGCGGTCCGGCCACCGCGGAGAGCCGGGGTCACCTCCGGGACCCCAGGCCGCTGCCCGCCGGGCGCCCCACCCCCAGCCCCGTGCGCAGCGCAGCGCCCAGGCCACCCGCGTTTGCCCACTGGCGTCCGTGGGAATCCGCAGCAGCCTGCAACAAGGGCGGGCTTGTCCGGAATCAAACTGCATCTTAATGTTATAATACACCAAAAAGCAAAACCCGGGGCTCGGCCCGGGAGTCCCTAACAAGAAACACATTGTGTGCCTCTACCCCGGTGGTTGGCTCCAGCCTCCTTTGCGCGCCGCTCGCTCTGCTGTCAGCCAAGTCCATGACTTCAGCCTGGAAGAGGCCGCTGCCCCCACCAAGTGGGGTCTCTGCACTCCTGCCGCGCCACCAGAGTGGGGTGGCGGAGTATGGCCTCCTCATAGGTGATGCGCCTCTAATGCTAGGGCACCAAACCTTTGCTAGCTCCTGAGGGCTTATCTCACTGGGCATTGGTGTCTGGCATCCAGGATGTGCCAGTGAAGGTTGATTGGTGGAAAAAATAAATTAAAAAAAATAGTTTGATGCCCTTCCTTCCCTCACCTTTTAGGCTTTCTTTCCCAGATACCATCCCCCCCCCCCCAATAGTAATTTAAAGACTTCTCTCCAGTTAGAGGGAAAACACTCATGAGAGTCCTGCAGCATCCTTCCTGGTGCCTGTCAGTGTGTCACTGCTTCCCAGGCATGAGTCTGCCCTGGGTTCTGTGGGAAAGGGCAGAGCCTAGATGGTATCCTCAGGGAGGTGCCTGTAGTGGGCACAGAGCTCCATGGGGACCCTATAGGGTAAGAGAGCTGGAACCTGTGGATTTGGGTTGATCTGCTCAGATTGTTGGAGTCCTGAGGTTTTCCTGGTGTGTTCTTGGTATGGGTAGCATCGGTCCTGGTCTGTTGAGGTGAGACCACTGTGCATCAGCAGGAGCCTGGGGAAAATGCCTGTGAATTCAGCCATGCATTCATTTTAATTTTTTTATTTTAGTTTTGAGGGTTTATTTTATTTTATGTGTATGAGTGTTTTACCTGCATGTGTGTAAGTGCACCTGTGTAGGGCAAGAGGGTTAGAGTCCCTAGAACTGGTGTTACAGACAGTTGTTCACCACCATGTGAACAATGCACTTAATCAATAAGCCATCTTTCTAGCCACCACCTCCTCCCTTCCACCTTTTTTGGCTTTTTTGAAACAAGTTTCCCTCTGTAACCCCTGCTGTCTTCAAACTAATAGCAAGCCTCCTGCCTCAGCCCTCTGCAGGCTAAGATTACAGGGGTCAGCCACCACACTCAGCAAGCCATGCATGTAGTTCTAACCAGCAGCCTGTGTTCCCTCAAGTGATATGACTAAGGGGGCAACATCATGCTTTCTTTCAAGGAATCAGCATTCACACTGGGTAAGAATAACTGGTTTTTTTAGAAGCCTGTGCACCTCTTATCTCTTTTGCTCTTCACCTTGACCCCAAGATGCTGGAAAGGTAGATGCTGCCCCCATTTCTCAGAAAAAGAAACTGAATCATGGGTAAGAAGACCCTTCCTCTTTGTGGTTGTCTGGACATCAGCCCACACTTCCTGCCCACAGGCTGACATGTGCCCTTGACTCCAGGTGGCCTATTAATTATTTTTTGTACCTTGAAATATATTCCAGTTTTAATGGGAATAGCTGGATTGTCCAGGGCCAGGAGTCTGTAAAACACTTTGTTCTCACTTTCCTTCAAAGTTAACAAGGAGTGACCAAACATGACCTTGTATTAACTAAAGGTCAACTCAGATCTGAGGACATTCGTGTGTGAGAAACACGTTTGCCCATGACCACCTCCGCAAATTCTGACCCAGTGGCTTTGATGAGCAGCCCAGGAAACAGTGCTTTAAGCATGTGTCCTGTGGAGAGGCTGATGTGTGAGGCTGTTTTCTGAGCTCTCAAACCATCCTTGCTGGAGGCAGAATGCAAGATAAAAATGAACCCACCCAGACCCTTGAAGAGACTTTACATTTGGTTTCAGAAACTCAAGAGAAAGTGTTATACTTACACACATGTTAACTCCCCTCCTCCTTGTTCTTTTTCCTTGGTAAGAAGCCACTGTTTTTTTTTTGTTTGTTTGTTTGTTTTCATAATTTCTTCAGCTGTGTGTTCTGTAGATATCCTTTTAAGAATGTTCTGCCAGTGACAAGTTTTCTGAGTTTTCTTGTGTTTGGAGCCTTGTTTCCCCTTTATTCCTGAAAGATTTTTTTGCAGGATGTAGAGTTCTGTGTTAACAGAACTTGTAGCAGTTAGCCTGGTGGGACTCACTTCTCTTACCACTTCTGATGAGAAATCTGTAGTTCATCCACACCACTTTCTCCCCTGTAGGCAAGGAGTTGTCTGCTTTGTCTTTAGTGTTGAGAAGTTTGCCTGCCATGTGTCTCTGAATTTAAGTTTATTCTGTTGGAAGTTCTTAGTTTTCTCAGAATTTGGGAATTTTCAGCTATTATTTCATCCTGTAAGATTTCAAACCTGCCCTGTTTCCTTTTTCATTCTGGGACTTGATGACATGCATGTTGTGTCTTTTGTTTTAGTCCTACAAACTCAGGTTGCTATGCTACTTTTTTACAAATCCATTATCTTTGTTGCTCCAATTGTGTATTTTCTACAGTTCTGTCTTTGAATTCATTAATTTTTTTTCTTCTGTCTTCGGTTTGGTCTTGAGTCTACCCAGTGAGGTTTTTCCTTTGGTTATTGTGTTTTTCAGTTCTGAAACTTCCCTTTGGTTCCTCTTTATAGTGTCTGTTTCTCTACTGCAATTCTTTTAAAAAAAAAATTCTTTTGGCACATTCGTAATCATTCACTGAAGGATTTTTAAGGATCCTGTAAAGTCCTTGCTGATTTATTCCTAACTTCCACATCAATTGACTGTTGGCAATTGTGGACAGT